TGGGAGGCCAGCATTACCTTGAATTCAAAACCAGACAAAGACCCCTCTAAAAAGGAGAATTACAGACCAATATCCTTGATGAATATAGATGCAAAAATTCTCAAGATACTATCTAATCAAATCCAACAACATGTTAAAAGGATTCTTCACCCTGATCAAGTGGGATTTATTCCTGGGCTGTAGGGGTGGTTCAATATCCACAAATCAATCAATGTGATACACCACATTAGTAAAAGAAAGGACAAGAACCATATGATCCTCTCAATAGATGCAGAAAAAGCATTTGACAAAATACAGCATCTTTTCTTGATAAAAACCCTCAAGAAAGTAGAGATAGATGGAACATAACTTAACATCATAAAGGCCATATACAAAAGACCCACAGCTAATATCATCCTCAATGGGGAAAAACTGAGAGCTTTTCCCCTAAGGTCAGGAACACAACAGGGATGTCCATTCTCACCACTATTGTTCAACATAGTACTGGAAGTCCTTGCCTCAGCAATCAGATGGCTGGCTGGATGGCTCAGTCATTAAGCATCTGCCTTCAGCTCAGGTCATTATCCCGGGATCCTGGGATCAAGCCCCACATCGGGCTCCCTGCTCCAAGGGAAGCCTGCTTCTCCTTCTCCCACTCCCCCTGCTTGTATTCCCTCTCTCGCTGTCTCTCTCTGTCAAATAAATAAATAAGATCTTTAAAAAAAAAGGAAAAAAAATAAATCCCATTTACAATTGCACCAAAAATTGTAGGAAAAAATCTAGGAGTAAACCCAACCAAAGAGGGAAAAGATCTGCACTCTGAAAACTATAGAACATTCATGAAAGAAATTGAGGAAGACACAAAGAAATGGAAAAACATTCCACGCTCATGGATCGGAATAACAAATATTGTTAAAATGTCTATTCTACCCAAAGCAATCTACACATTCAATGCAATCCCTATCAAAATACCATCGTTTTTCACAGAGCTGGAACAAACAATTCTAAAATTTACATGGAACCAGAAAAGATCCCAAATAGCCAAAGTAATGTTAAAAAAGAAGACCAAAGATGGAGGCATCACAATCCCAGACTTCAAGCTGTATTACAAAGCTGTAATCATCAAGACAGTATGGTACTGGCACAAAACAGACACATAGATCAATGGAAGAGAATAGAGAGCCCAGAATTGGACCCACAACTCTATAGTCAGCCAATCTCCAACAAAGCAGGAAAGAATATCCAATGGAAAAAAAGACAGTGTCTTCAAAAAATGGTTTTGGGAAAACTGGACAGCAACATGAAAAAGAATGAAACTGGACCACTTTCTTATACCATACACAAAAATAACTTCAAAATGGATGGAAGACCTAAATGTGAGACAGGAGCTATCAAAATCCTAAAGGAGACCACAGGCAGAAACCTCTTTGACTTTGGCCGTAGCAACTTCTTACTAGACACATCACCAGAAGCAAGGGAAACAAAGGCAAAAGTGAACTATTGGGACCTCAACAAGATAAAAAGTTTCTGCACAGTGAAAGAAATAATCAACAAAACTAAAGGCAACCGACAGAATGGGAAGAGATATTTGCAAATGACATATCTGATAAAGGGTTAGTATCCAAAATATATAAAGAACCCATCAAAATCAACACCCCCTAAATAAATAATCCAGTTAAGAAATGGGCAGAAGACATGAACAGACATTTCTCCAAAGAAGACATACAGATGGCTAACAGACACATGAAAAAATGTCAACATCACTAGCCATCAGGGAACTACAAATCAAAACCAGAATGAGATACCACCTCATACCTGTCAGAATGGCTAAAAATTAACAACTCAGAAAACAACAGATGTTGGCAAGGATGTGGAGGAAGGGGAACTCTTTGCACAGTTAGTGGAAATGTAAACTGGTGTAGCCACTCTGGAAAACAGTATGGAGGTTCTTCAAAAAGTTAAAAATAGAACTATCTTATGATCCATCAATTGTAGTACTAGGTATTTACCCAAAGGATACAAAAATGCTGATTTGAAGGGGCACATGCACCCTAACATAGCAGCAATGTCTGCAATAGCCAAACTGTGGAAAGAGCTGATATGGCCATTGACAGATGAATGTATAAAGAAGATGTGGTATGTATACACACACACACACACATATATACACACAATGGAATATTACTTAGCCATCAAAAAATGAAATCTTGCCATTTGCAACAACATGGATAGAACTAGAGTATATTATGCTAAGTGAAATAAGTCAGTCAGAGAAAGACAAAAAGCACATGATTTCACGCATATGTGGAATTTAAGGAACCAAACAGATGAACATAGGGGAAAGGAAGGAAAAATAAAATAAGATAAAAACAGAGAGGGAGGCAAACCATAATAGACTCTTAACTACATGGAACAAACAGGTTGGTAACTTGAATTAAAAAAAAAGATCATGCACAGTACTGTTTTGTATCAAAAAAAAAAAAAAGAAAGAAATAGTATATAAAGTTTCCAAATGCACAAACCTAGATAAGTCACAATTTGAACTGAGTCTGACTCCCAAGTCTGTGATCTCTGTCTCGTTTTACCAGGCTCTAGTCAAGGGCAAAAACATTTGAGAAAACAGTTGGCTAGAACATAAGACACAGACAGGATATGTGTGGCAATAAAGCTTGACAAGGAGGTTGGAGCCAGGCCATGGAGGGGCTTGAACCAGGCACTGTGGAAGGGTTTCAGGGCCGTGGGGTAGTGAGCGTGAAGTAGTCAAATATGGAGGATGAAGGGAAAAGTTGTGAAAAGTCAGGGAGCAAGAGAAAGGAAGGAACATCTTATTTTATTTCACAACATTGCCTGGATTTGATGGTATTGATGCTAGCAAGAGACTTCTGAGAATATGTAAATGTCTAATACTGGGCAATCTTTAGGAGAAGGAACAGGAAGCCTGAGTCGAGTTCTGTTAGATCTACCCTAGAGAGGAAGTCATGTGTGCTTTCTTTGCTGCCTCTCAGCATTGCGGTCTCAGAGAATGTCCTCTTGGTTACTACCAACCTACTTCACCAGGGTACTTCAAAACATTCAGCAATTTCTTTGATTTGCAGGGACCTTTTAGAGATTTTGCAGAGTCAGTCAAATTAAATCATGAGGACTTTTAGATCTGAGAGCTGGATGTAAATTTGGATGAAGAGGCTTCATGTTTTTCTCTTTTATTAAAATTGACTTAGAATTGCAACTTTTAAAATCCAAATCTTGGACAGTTAATGCTGGAAGGGATGCCTGTGATCTTCTGGTAATTTTTAAAGATGAAAAACTTGACTTCTAGGCAAGTTATGAGATTTGCCCAAGATGACACCAAACCTGCCTGGCTGACATTAACACTGACGTTGCCGTGTGCTGAAACCTGTGCTATTTGTGCTACTCCACAGGCTGCTTCTGATTTTAAATAATGTGGCCACTCATGCTGGGACCAACCAGCTGGAGAGTAGTGGGGGCATTTATTTACCCAGGGGATTATGGTGATAGTGTAATATGCCCTTTGAAAGGCCCTCTTCCAGAACATTGCCTTAAGCACGAAGGTCACTAATTCAGCCGTCACAAACAGTTCACAGAGGGGAGAGAACCACAGACTCTCAAGCTCTCAAGTCATCCCAAGTCAACACCTCTGTCCATGTGCTCACCACTGAATTAAAATTGCCTCTGAGGTCCACCCACTGGCAGGCCTCAGAAAGACTCTCCCTTCTTCCTATGCAGCCTGTTGGTTTCAGCTTGGTATAAGGCTTGTGATTTGACTTAGAAGGGAAGTAGGGGATTCCTCATCCATGTGGGCAGTCTCAGTGGAATCCACTTGACTGCAGCCCCTAGTGTGCCAGGAGAGTGGGAAGCAGGGATTCCACACCCCAGGGTATGAAAACAAATCCCTCCCCATACCTTTGATCAGAATGTCTTGCCAAAAATAATCTGTGAGAAGAGATGTTGTTCATGGCAAGAATAATAGGTGGTGTTTTTTGGTTTTGGTTTTGGTTTTGATTTCCTTTTTTAGTGAGTAACACAAGCATGTGGTAAAAAAATTTAAAAATATAAAAAGTAGACTGTGAAAAGTAAGTGTCCTTCCACTCCTGACCTTAGGCTTCCAATTCCATTTTCCAGAGGTAATATTTATGACCTGTTTTCTGAGTATTCCTTCAGATATAGTCAATGCCCATACATGCATTATTAATATTTTTTAACATGAATGGTGATATACTTTATATACGATTCTGCCTTTTTTTTTTTTTTTTGCACTTCATATATTTTGGAATTTGCTCCATATTGAACTGCTTTGTTCTTTTAACCGTTAAATTACTATAGATATTTTATTTATCAGGCTTCTTTTCTATATTATTTTACTTCTCTCTTGCTGTTGAGTACTCACTTGATTCAAGTTGTATTTTTCAAGTCATTAAACAAAAGAGAAAGAGACAACGTTAGAAATATATACACTCAAATCTACTGAACTCTGAATGATTAGAACAGTTTCTATTGCCCGTGTGACCTGCAAATAGTACAATCCTACTCCTGTGTTGCATGCAGTGAAAGAACAAGCAGCCAGGAAGCTTCCAGAATTCACTCTCAGTACAGTCTAGGAGTTTGTGGCCATGATGGATTGATTGGTCCCAGCCTTCTTCATGAGGGGATCTCTATGACTGAATGGATTTCTTAAGATGGCTATTAAATGCTCCATTATCTAAAGTGGGAAAGTGGGGCTCAGAGAACCAAAATAATATACCAGAGCAGAGTTTGGCAGAAATGGGGACAGATCTTAGATGTCCCCCATGACAGAGCAGAATACTCCTAATTTATCTTAGGAGATGTTATGGAAAAGCAAGGCGGCAGTAGAAAGTCTGGGTCTAATCTTTGTAGAAAACACGAAGTGTCTTGTCAAGTCATTCCTTCTATAGTCCTGCATTTTTGCTTCATAGGATATGACTTGTCAATTTCATTTGCTCACTTTTTTTTTCCCTAAAAATATATCCTTTTTCCTTCTTCAGGTGCCACCTCAGTATCCTCCAATTCAAAGTATCAGAGTACAATTTACCAGTAAGTATTGTTCAGTTGATTTATGTTTTTAAAAGAACCTTCCTTCTAGTCTCTTAATTTCTTTCGGAAAACAGAATCTCTCCCTACCCTTTGGGAAGCACGAAATCCTGCAATTGTTAGAGCCTGCATGCTGTTTTCATTAGGCACAAAGAAGGTGTATAAAGAAGACAAGGTTGTAATTAGTTACCAAATATGTGTTTGTCACTGTATTAACCACTTTATATGCCTCTCTTAATCCTTCCAGGAATCCTCTGAGTAGGAATTATTCTCATTTTTTAGGTAAGGAAACTAAGGCTTTACTTCTTACAAGGCTGTCTGACTGTATGACACATCATTTCCCACTAAATCGATTATAGGACAAGATTTTATCTTAATGAGAGGTGGGGGGGTGGGTCTCGGATATGAAGACAAGGTAATCCTCTAACTACCAGGATAGCGTTATTTGGATCCATGATTAATATTAGGACAATAACCAGTAGTTTCTATATGGATATTCATTTGTTTATTAAATTCTTCTGAGCCTGAAGGGAAGTATATCTTGCCTTCCATCAATGGCCCTCATTTTCAATTCAGACTATCCCCCCTGGGCCTGGCGCAAAGTAAGAATTAACTGAATTATGCCGAGTAGTGGAGACCTGTTGTTTCCTATAACTAAGGGACATGGGCCAAAATGGGGAATCTGAGATATGGTTGCTTGGCCATTCGGGATATTGTGAGGTAGAAATAAGAATTATTTAGTCTTTTTGCCTTACACTTGGAATGGCCTTATATGAAACTACCAAAGCCATTAATCTGTGTCCTCCGTCACCCCTAATATTTTTTTCTGTGGTAGCAACTCTTCCCAAGGCATTTTCCAGGAAAAACTAGTAATAAGGTAAAATGGAGAAGCAGGTCTGTGTTCTTAAGCTCTTCCACCTGCATCTTACTGAGCAGAACTGAGCCCACAGACATTCTGTGTATAACCGCATTATTAAGCTTAAGTGACTTCTAGCAAAGGCCAGTAATAAATGCTGTTGAGAAGTCCAGTCCCAAAGCATATGAAAAATTTGCATTTCATGGACAGGTGGAGAGAGGATTTAGAAGCATTAACAAGCTTTGTGTGAAGGTGGTGTGCAGGATCTGGGCAAGGGGCATTCCTGCTAACCTTCCCCTAGTCTCTCCATTGAAAAAGAAAGGAAGCACTGAAGTTACCAACCCCTCCTGGTTTTGAAAAATCAGGGAAACCTCGAAGTTCCATTTCCTGCCACTGGTCTGTTGTGACTACTGCCAATTGCTATAACCTCTTAGTTTTTGAATCCCAACCCCATCTGAAATTCTCTTGGCCTCTAGTATTATGCCTCTTCTTCCACTCCACAGGTGACGCAGACTCCAACCCTCATGTAGAAACACAATGTTCTCTTTCTTTCATTCTTTCCAAAATCTCTCCCTATCACTTTTTCTTAGATGAATTAGAAGGTTGTTGCCTTTCTGTGCTGTGCTAAGGAATCATTTTTTTTCTTCTTGCCCTCCCCTCCTTAGGGTGTGAGAATGAGAAGGGTTGCATCATCACATCCCCAAACAAAGATGAAACCATGAAGGTGCAAGACAACTCAATCATCATCAACTGTGATGGGTTTTATCTCATCTCCCTGAAGGGCTACTTCTCTGAGGAGCTCAGCCTCAGTCTTTATTACCGGAAGGGCCGGAAACCCCTCTTTTCCTTGAGCAAGGTCACATCTGTTGACTCCATTGGAGTGGCTTATCTGGCTTTCAAGGACAAAGTCTACTTTAATGTGACCTCTCACAGTACCTCCTACAAAGACATTCAGGTGAATGGTGGGGAATTGATTCTCATTCATCAAAATCCTGGTGGATTCTGTGCCTACTGAGGACCCGAGGGCTGCACCTAAGTCAGGCACCCAGCATGAACACTGAACTGGGGTTGGACAAGACTCTGATTCTTCCTTGGGAGTGGAGAAATTGTCCTAGCTTAGCCCCTAAAAATGGCCACACGGGATGTGACCAGAAGCAAATCCCCCAACTCAGGGATATTTAAAACTTATATTACATACCAATTAACTTTATTTATCCTCATGTCTTCTAAATCACCTACTCCTCATCCCTCATGGTTGCCTCAAGCCTACTAAGCACCTCTACAAGAATGAGAAAATAGGTGCCTCTTCCTTAAGGCACATTATTTCTATTGGTCAGGAAATTGTCATAATAAACTTTCTTTATTGAAAAAGACACTTCACTGCCGTTTGCTGGAAATTTGACATCTGGCTTTGTCAAAATGAAGAGGACCAAGGAAGGGGCTATGAATCTGCCAAAGGTGGTGTGGACTAACCCTTGGCAGCCAAAACTGTCTCTCCAAGATGAAATTAGTTGCTGTTTGTGTAGTGTCTAAATACCTCTCTCATTTGGTGGAGTTCAAAAGGAAGATCATCTTGAGAACAGCTGTCAGGACTTGAAGACAGCCAGCTAAGGAATACTTTGTGCTCTGGGCTTTCTTTTTCTTTACCACTTTGCTTGCTTTCCCAGCCTCCAATGTTCTTAATAGAAATTTCCCTTCAAAGAATCATCCTGGGGATGTGATGCTGTGAAAAATCTAAACAGTAATTTCAGGAAAACAGAGAGGTTTTTCTAAACCGGGAGAGTGAGATAATTTATTGTGAGGGTTATCTTTATGGCATGGAAGAGCAGTGAAACTGGACATCTCATGGTAAAAGTCAGTAAGAATTTAAATAGTCTGGGAAGGAAAACACATTATTTGCCACTGCTAGGCAAAGCAACGCATGTGCATTTTCCCTCTTATGCTGAGATACACATTCAGCCCTATTTCTTGTACATGTATACCACATTGCTAGCTTAAAAAATGAAGCAATTCTATTCTTGAATACAACTTTAGGCCAAGACACTGAGAAGTTATTATATGAAAAATAATATCTGTCTAGAAACACCATAAAATTGCATATGATCTAATACTGATAAGTGACTAGAATGATCAATAATCAGCAATACCAATAAGGAAAAAGATCCCTTTGTTTTTAGTTTAAATATCCCTCTTGATGCATCAGGCTTATGGCACTGTGGACAAATACCCAGATGATTTGTAAGTTCTCAAATTTTTGATAAATTTTTTTAATGGCAGCAAATGGTTTCCTCTCAGTTTAAATAGAGTGCATAACACAACATAGAATCTTTCTGGATGATTCTGTGTCATCACAGTGATTGTACTGTGCTGCAGTACAGTGATAGCTCCAGGATCTCCAGAAAGGGGGAAGGCAGTTTGCCCCACACTAAATTACATTTGGATATTTTTCTATTTAACACAGTTTTCCAACTCCTCTTAAGTGTTTATTTATCTCCAACTATGTTCTTGTCCCTCTATTTTAATTTGTTATGGAAAGAAGGTAAACAAAGGTGCATCACGAAAAGAAGCTAAGTAAGAGGAATTGTGCATAAGGTAAGAGTAACCAAGCTCTGAGTGGTTGCCAAGGCGCTCACATAATCATAATCATGATCATGATCATAATCATAGGTAAACATTAATGGAGGGTCTGCTGTGGACCAGGCGTTGGGCTAGATGCTTTACATGTATTGTTCTGAGCAAGATATTCTGTGATATTTGTCCTGACTACTCAGAGGATTTAAATGTGTGTGTGTGTGTGTGTGTGTGTGTGTTTATTTGTTATTGACTATGGTCTGCAAAGTTGAAGCTACTCAATGGGTGATATCTAATAAGTAAATGTTTATGACTATAGATAATATTTAAGAAAATATATATTTACTTTTTAAAGTTTGGAATTTCTAACTATATTTCTCCTGAACATGCACATTCCTGGCCTCAGCATAGTTGTTCTGTGGGTTGTCTTTCTTTGTTGTCATGGTCCTTCTTCACAGATGCCCACTCCCTTTGGGTACACATAGTTTGCTCTTCCCATGCTGGCTTCTTTTGGCCACGCAGGGATTTTTTTTGTCATGCACCAGCTTCACTCCCCTCCCCCCACTTCCACCCATCAAAATATGCATGTCCCCTTTAAGTCATTCCTCCAGAAAGAGAATTAAACCTTCTCCAGGCACAACAAAGTTTTGTGGAAAGAGAACTGAATAAGAAGTCAAGAGATTGAAAATCTAATTTGATTCAGTCACTAACTAGCTAAGTGACCTTGGGCAAGTAATTTCCCATTTTTGGATTCTGCTTTCCTCTCTTGTTAAGTGACTGTTTTAGAATCTTATGTTCATAGTGCTAACTGTGAATGTTCATACTAAATGTCTAGGTACTAGTTGCTGTGAGTCAAGTTGTAGAGCCTTCTCTTACACTGTGTGGAATTTTTTTTCTTAGACAAACATCTTCCCTCAGCCTTCTTGACAATTCCTTCAAAAGCAGTTCCAATTGTTACTTAGCAACTTTCTATTTAGGGGATGGCATAAAGGATTCTAATCTTTTTTTTTTTTTTTTAATTTTATTTATTTATTTTGACAGAGAGAGACACAGCGAGAGAGGGAACACAAGCAGGGGGAGTGGGAGAGGGAGAAGCAGGCTTCCCGCCAAGCAGGGATCCCGATGCGGGACTCGATCCTGGGACTCCAGGATCGTGACCTGAGCCGAAGGCAGTCGCTTAACCAACTGAGCCACCCAGGCGCCCCGGATTCTAATCTTGATCCAAATCATAATTTGTTCTTAAACATACTGGGCAGGTCCCTTATTTTAAGTCATAATTTTATAGTTAGTGCTTTTCTGGCTCTCAGGAAGTATTAATATTGATATTAATAATAAAGCTAATAATAATATTGATATTTACATAGAAACAAATAAAAGATTTCAGAATTCACTACTGGTTAAAGTGCTAGAGTTTTTATTTATCCCCTCTTCCTTTCCTTGTTCTTTTTTTTTTAAAGATTTATTTATTTTTAGAGAAAGAGAGTGAACGAGCAGGGGCAGGGGGTAGTCGGGGGAAAGGGCAGAAGGAAAGAATCTCAAGCTGCTCCCCACTGAGCTCGGAGCCCATTGTGGGGCTTGATCTCATGACCCTGAGATCATGATGTGAGCCAGAATCAAGGGTTGGACACTTAACCACCTGAGCCACCCAGGACCTCTTCCTTTCCTTGCTCTGATCAGCTAATTCCCTGATGAGGGAAGGATGGGGCAAGTATTCTGGTGTCCTATCTGCCTCCAATTTCAGCCATCAGAACTATGTCCAGGGCATAGTCAGCCTGCCAAACTCCATCTCTGCTTTTGAAAAGACATTCACTAGAAGTCCTCAGAGCTCCTCCTCATGGTTCAAAAGACCAATTCAAATATAATTCTACTATGCACTATTCTTCTTTCCCTCAGGAATTCTTGCCTCATTTCTAAACGTGGGATGATCTCTCTGAGTATTATGTCCCCTTTCCTTAGTAGTAATTACATCCTAAACCTTACTCTCCTTATATGTAAAGTGGGGGATATTAATACATACCTTCTGGGTTATTGTGAATATGAAAGTACCTAGTATATTGCCTGAAACATGCTTGTTCTCAATACCTAATAATTATTAATTTACAAAAGTCACTTACTCTACAAGGCAAAAAGTAAGTACCAAACGAATAAAAGAATTATGGAGATTTAGGATGGAGAGATCACTGAAGCATAATGGAAGAGCCTTATAGGATTGAGACTGGAAAAGAGATAAGGAGAACATAGCTGGAGAAGAACAGTATGTGCAAAGGCCTAGGGGTAGGAATTCTCATGGTGTTTTCTGAGGACAAAGAGCTACCATTGTGGATATGGCTCTCATTCACTTATTTCTTTATTTGAACATATTCTATTTTTCCAAGATAGGAATTTGTGTTTGGTCATGGTTGGAGATAGGATTAATGGGTAGTTTGAGGATAAATTATTGAAGGCATAAAGACAAAGCTAAGAATTTTGGATCATGTCCTACAAAGGGAAACACTGAAGGTTTTTGAATAAGAAGAATTTATCATGGTTTGGGAAAAAGAGTAAGCTCTTGTCAATATCATTTTTCATTTTGACCCAATTCATATGAGTACCTTACTTTCTGTCAGTTAAACAAAAGCTTCAAATTACTTCTATTAGAAGAAAATGAGGAAAAGAAACATCATAAGAGCCACATTTTTAATACTTTTGGGAAAAGACATATAGAGAGCTTCTTATTAAACTCAAATTAAATGTTTAATAAAGGCTCCACTGGATGGTTTAAAAAATATTAAATATTTTCTAAAAAGTAGTATTTTAAGATATCAATCTGAGATGTTATGAGCACTAAAAAATAATCCCCGAGGATTTCAGTCACTCTTACACATTTATTTCTTTGTTTATGTCTTAAATATATCCTGTTTCTCAATTTAAATTTTTGGCAGCACTTTGGAATTGCCTTTCATCTATCATCTAATCTATCATCTATCTATCTATCATCTATCTATCTATCTATCTATCTATCTATCTATCTATCTATCATCTATCATCTATCTATCATCATCTATCTTCTATTATCTATCATCTATTATCTATCTATCTATCTATCTATCTATCTATCTATCTATCTATCTATATCTATCTATCTATCATCTATCTATAAATAACTTTCTCTCCCTGGCAGTAGCCTCACTCACAGAGTATGTGGGTGTCTAGGAACCTCTCCCTAGCATCCCTAGTAACTAGCCATAGTGGCTGATAATCCATGATCCATGGGATCGAGACATGAAAGGATATTTAAAAGTAATTGTTACTTAGGAGAGCTGACACATGAAACCTTTTAATGTTTTACCACCACCACTCCCTCCCCTGTCCAACAGAAGTTGGTCAGATGGTTTGTTTCAATCTTGAGGGCATGGGATGTAAAGCCCTTCAGTTCTGACTGGTGCCTGGGGGACAATTAGGGTTGCATTCCATCCAAAATCAGGCAGGGAGTTGACATAGGAAGAGGTTGCTAAGCAGGCAGGGTATTCTAGCATTCTGCCACAGTCCTTGAGAAATCTGAAGCCATTATGCATGGGGCACAGTTAAACATGGTCCTGATCAGCATTTTGATTGATGGAACTGGTTGACTTTGTTCATCTTTTTAGGGCCTATTTGTGAGATAAAACAGAGGGAGCTAAGAGCAGTGTGAGAATCACTGGATTTCTTATATAACATCCCTTATATAATTAAAATATTCTAACCATTCATCTACAGATAATTGTTGAATTCCTACTATGTGTTACCATGTGCCTACTGTGTATGTACTAGAAATATAAATACAAATATAAAATAGTTTCTTTCCACTAAGTATTGAGTATAATGTGTAGTATTAACTAGAGTGGGGAGAAGCTAGAAGCCAGGATATCAGGTAAGAAACTAAGTGTTGATGACTGTAAAGGAAAAATGGATTTGAAAAATAACAAAAAATTAATCAGACCTACTGACTGGTAGGATGTCGGTGGTAGATAAAGGGAGAAATTAATTTGTTTGTTCATTAAAAATGTTGTTTTGAGAGTCAGGAAGAAATAAGAAACAACAAGCAAAAACAAGAAAAGAACAAATTAGAATGTTAGGAGAAAAGAAAAAGGGCTCATCCACTTTAAATTGGGAAGAGATCTCGTCGAAAAGATGACATTTAACTCAAAATCTGAAAACTGGAAGAAACGAGCTGTTTGAAACCAGAAATGTTGACTGGGCCAATGAGGTGGGGGTGGATAGTGGGAAAAGGAAGTTAAAAATACCATCTATGACCATGTGACCAATTTCAGAAATGGGGACTATAATAGTTATATTTATTCCTTATTTTGATATGACTATATTAATGTATATGTTAACCAATGTTTTCCTTCCACTCTCCATTCCTTTGCCATCTGTTAATGGTAGTTAACTTTACATCATATCAGATTTTATTTCTTTATTTGACAGAGAGACAGAGAGCACAAGTAGGCAGAGTGGCAGGCAGAGGGAGAGGGAGAAGCAGGTTCCCTGCGAAGTAGAGAGCCCAATGTGGGACTCGATCCCAAGACCCTGGGATCATGACCTGAGCCGAAGGCAGACGCGTAATGACTAAGCCACCCAGGCACCCCAACATCTTATGTTTTAAGTAATAGAATTTCAAAAAGGGAGTGTGACTCAGTTGAAAAGAAAATGAACATCAGCCAAAGATGGATGAATGAATTTTGGATCATATTTGGGGGAGAGCCAGCATGTTGTACAAGGGACAGCTGCATCATTGTGTGGAAGTATCATTTTGACGTTATCTTTATTTGGAAGTAAATTATGATTAAAGGATACTATGGGGCCAAGGGGTGAACTGTGGTGGGGTTTGCACTAGTACAAGTTAGCTAAGATAGAAGCATAATTCCTAGAATTCTTTTACCCCTAGAGTTACAGGGAGAAGTCTGCATGAGATTTATAAGGTGGAAATAAAGAAACAGCCATTTTTATACTCGAAAGCCTGGAATACAGTGTCAGGTACTGTGGCAACTCATAGTTACTGTTGTGGATCTGTTGACTCACTATGTTGCTGTGGAGCAAAACCAGAACCCACAGCTCATCTTGCTTCTTCCAGATCTTCTAAGCTTCTCCAAGTCCTGAGGCAGGCATTTATGCAGCTCTGTGGTGAAGGGATCTAATTTCTCCTGCAAGTCACCAGTGTCCTCAAGGTTGGTGGTGCCTAGAGACAGGTGTGTGTTCCAGCTTATTTTCATGGGTTCAGTGTTCAAGAGAAAGTGACAGTATTGAGATTAGGCAAAGAAGATCCAACAAATAAGATAACAGTAGTCCTCAAAGAAGAAAATTAAGACAGAAAACAGAAGAAATGCTAAAACTATAATTTTAAAAAAAACCCTTCTGAAATAAAAAAGATTTGAAACCACATATTAAAATGCATAATACATAACCTTGGGAATCCTGACTCTGAATGACTGAATTTTAAAAATTACTGAACTTAAAAAAAGATAAAGAATTCAGTTATTGTCTTGGCAAAATATTATCACCAGACTAACACTCTTTTATTTTCCCATCTGCTATAACAAATTGCCACAAACTAATCAGCTTAAAACAGAAATTTTCTTGTAGTTTTAGAGGCCAGAAGTCTGTAAAGAGTCTTACAGGGCTAAAATAAAAATGTAAAAAGGGCTGGATCCTTCTGGAAGCTCTAAGGGAGAATCCCTTTCTTTGCCAGCTTTTAGAGGTTATTCTCATTCCTTGGTAAATAGCCCCATATTACCTCACCTTTTCTCCTCTTGCTTCAACATTCACATTGTTTTCTTTCTTTTCTATAGTCTGCCTCTGCCTCCCTCTTATAAGGATACCTGTGATTACATTTAGGGCCTATTTGGATAATCCAGG